ATTAATGCTAAATTCATTAAATCAATGCAAATGCATTAGTTTTAGGTATAGATAATAATCCATTGATCATTCCTTGCTGACCTGACTTCCTTTAAGAGGGACTGTTTCAGTGGAGGTGTGTCTCCAGACTGAGATGTTGAGTAGAGGGCAGCTTAACCCCTGTATGGACCCACTCCATTTCTGATTAGCTGCTTTAGTCCCAACATTGGTTCTTTAAAAGGTTTCACTAGAAGCTTTCATGATGGAGAAAAGCGAGAAGTTATACAAACGCCAATCTGAGCCCTCCTTCCAGGACAGATCTGCAACTGGAAAGACGTAATTTCACCTTAAACCAGCGTGTCTCCTCACAAAGAGTCAATCCACTAGACTTTGTTTTCAAGGCTGAAGTCGTTTCGCTTCCCATCCAGGAATATTTTCAAGTCAAAATGTCAGAAATAGCGTTGAGTTCCAGGCTTCATAGATTAGCCCAACAAAGCCTTGATTCTGTTTAGATTACATGCAAATTGAAACGGACGAACGGTCCACCCTTTAGGAAAAGGGGTCGTTGGCTTCTTTTGTTAGCCTGTAATGCCCCATACCTGTCTATGCCTCTGAAAAGATCAACTCTATGGCTGCATTATAGGTTTTTGAAATTTGAGGTCTGAGTTCACCCCCTCTGTTTAAAGTTGGTGAACATTCTGGTCCTAGAAATAATGCCCTTTGTCATGATCAGATACTGCCCAGGAGCCTATGAGCAATCACAGGGAGCTTCATCCATCCGATTGAACTGGACAGACCTGGAGAGAGCTGAAGATCCAGCTGCAGAGGAGGTCCAATTCACCTTCAAATTCAGCTCCTCCACAGAGCTCAGGCTAAATTGGAGTCAATTACTTCTCTTCCTGTTACTCAACATCAGGAATTTCACATCATTTCCCAACTATTTGCTGTGCCTTTTCTCAACCGTGGGGCTCTGGACTTGGAACCAACATCTGGTGTGAATAGAATAGTGTGTAGATCCAGTTCTGGACGGGCTCAGAACCTCGTCCTCCTGCTGTGAAGCAGAAGGTGATCCTCAGTGGAAACCTTCTTCTGGAAGGAGGAACAAGGCAAACTTCTCTAACAGAGACATGCCTTGCCCTCCCACCATCATTGCAGGGCCTCACCACTGACTGGGGAGGGGGGGCCCGCGCTCTGCCTGCATTTATCACCGTCTGGCATCGCTGTAATTTCAGTGTTCAGATAGAATCGCTCCCGACGCCCCTCAGGAGTAAACAATAACAAGCTCAAACACAAAAGACAAACAAGGTCTGCAGGACACGTACGCACACACACCGGCGATAATAAACACACCCCGTCTGCTGGTGTCTGTGCAGCAAAACATTTCATTTACAGTCTGCAGGAACCCGCAGGGTCTGGACTACTAGGGATCACAGCAGATTTAGAGCTACATCTGTCACATTAGCTTCATTTTAGCTGGACTTCAGTTTAAAAAGGTCTGATTTCTTGTCAGATGCTGCCCCCTGGTGGAAAGGAAAAAACCGTCTATGAACCACACCCATTACTGGATAAAAAGTATTCACTCCCCTAGTGGTGGCCTAACTTCACACCTCTTTAATGAATGATGTAGCTCAGCTACATTTAAATAATTGATTTAAATCAATAAAGTCTTGTAGGTTTCTCAAGTTATAAAGCACACAGCAAACAATGTAAATCTAAATAAGTCATTTTTTCTTCAAATAAGTGCATTTTATCCTGAATTGAGGAGATAAATGAGAGATTTTGCCAATGGAACAAGACAATTTACATTTGAAATAAAAAAAATCAATTGCATTGTCTTATTTCAAGTGCATGTTATGTGATTAACTTAATTTAAGTGTAAAAATACTCATTCCATTGGCAAACTATCTTATTTACCTGCTCAAATTAAGGGTAAATACACATAATTTAAGACATTTTTACTTAGTTTTTGCAGTGCAACAAATTTTCCTTTTTTTTCCCCCTAAATTAAGTTATTTTAAAATATATCTCCGTTAAAGGTTCTCAGTCTGTTCTTTAGTTAATATACTGGATATTTGTTGCCCATTTCCAACGAAATAAAACTTCTAGATCTTCCTGCTAAATGCAGAGTAATGTGGATTAGATGCTGAACATGGAGCCTGCAGACATCAGCAGCTCTGAGCGCCCTAGCTCTACCTCTGAGCAGCTCTACTCGCTTTAACTCTGAGCAGTCAAACCTGTGGTCCTTCATAAATGAAGAGAAGCTCCACTATTTCCTGAACTTCAGCCTCTCCTTTGTTTCCACCTTTCATTAGTGGACAGACTGACTTATCCAGGTGTTTCTAGTCCTTGTTGTCATGGTTACTGATGTCAGACACTTGGATTACTTGGTTGGCTCAGTAATGAAAGAGAGGAACCAAAGGAGCTGCTGAAGTTGTGAAATTTGTCTGCTTTTATTGTGGAAACAGAAGGACAGACAACATTCGCTGTTGGAATTTTATTTTCTCCATATATTTTACAAACAGAAGCACAGATCTTCATCAGACACAAACAGCTGCTCTGCAGGACTTTGAAGAACCATGAGTACAGAAACGACGGTCTGGTCCGTTTTATCTGCAGAGAGAGAAGAAGGGAAGCCGTGAGAACATGGCTAGAGCTGAGAGCACCTACTGCGTCCTAGCTCTGGTCCTAACAGCCCACTACTCTAACATGTTACCTCCTGAGGACCAGACTCACTCCCTGAGCTCAGCAGAGGAGGAGGAGCAGAGAGGCAGTCAGCATAGAGGGGACGTTAAAAACATTGAGGGAGGAGGAGGAGAGAGGGGGGAGTAATGAAGGACTCACAGGGCGGCAGCTCCAGAGATGATCTCGATGAGCTCCTTGGTGATGACGGCCTGTCTGGTACGGTTGAAGGTCAGGGTCAGCTTGTCGATCATCTCAGCTGAAGGAAACAAAAGAATCAAAAGTGAGAAAATATCAGAAGATCCGTTCCAGCCCGGAAACCGGATCCAAATACAAGTTCTCCTGTTCCAGTAGGTTCCAAAGCACACCGAGACAGCCCCAACTAAATCAGACCTTCACAATAAGAGCCTCTAAAGCTTTGGTCTGAGCCGTCATTCTGCTCAGGAAATCAGTCCTTTTGCAGGTTCTCTATCATTTCGATCTGTTCTCTTTTGAACTTTGAGAAAATCAAAGTTTTCTAAAGTTCCAGAAACATGAAGATAAAACATCCAGGATGTAAACATGAGAAGGAACTTTTACTGTGGCTCTGCTGCCCCCTGCTGGACTAACAACATTACAACCTTTTTTAGCAGGAAAATGTCAAAGGTCAAGCTTAAGTCTTGATCCAAACTTCTTCAGTGATGACACTTGAGCCATGGAGGAAGTTCAGAGGTCTGAACTTAGGAGCTAGGAGACAGGGTGCTTCCTATCATACTTCCTTCACAATAGGTTCCTATCTCCAGCTGGCAGCTTTCCCATAATCCTTTGCTAAAAGCTCAGTTTACATCATTTCCTCTGTTCTCTCTGAGGGGCTGATGTTCTCACCTTCAGACGTTCAATGCATCTGGGGAACTTTGGTTGTTGTAGTTCCTTCCCTGAAAGCTGTAGTTCTAATCTGGCTACTAGTGATGGGTTCATTAACACTGAAGCGTTGGTGCATGCATGGAGCCCACAGAGCAAAACACTATTGGTGTGCGTCGTTTCCATAAAGTCATGTGACCGATACAGGAATCGTTTCTAAATGACGGACTTAATAAACAGTTTAATAACGTATCAACATGATATGCTAAAAAAATGTCTCGTCTTTTACGGTTCAGCATTCAAATGATCAATAATTTTGAAGCAGCATAAAAAAGAGGAACCCTCAATTTATCTAAATGATAATCTATTTCACATTTAATCATAGTTTATTTAGCTGTTTGTTTTTTTTACTTTATTTTCATTTTAAAAATATGATTCAAAATCCTAGTCCCCAAGCATCAGCATCTTCATTCACATTTTCCCTAAATCGTTTTATTGAAGATGGAGCAGAAAGCTCTTTACCACAGCTGCACTAAAGCAATAAACCAAAGAGATCTTCAGAACCGGCCGGTTTGCATCTGGACAGAAAATCTACAGAAAAAAGCTCCACAGTGGAGGACTTTATACGAGCCTCCTTATGGATTATTAATCAGTGTTTTAAACCAGTGTCCTTTCTGCGGAAATGTTTTCCACATTTTTATGGAATGCACCAGACTAAAGACAATTCTTAGCCTTTTAATTAGTGTTTTCAGTCTTTTTGGGATGAGTTTTAAAAAAGCTCTTTTTATAGGAGAAGTTTGCGAGAATAGGAACACTAAGCCAAAGGCCCGACTTTTACATTTTTTAATCATTGAAGCAAATATGGCCGTTTCCTGCTCCGCAGAGACAAACTGCAGGACGGAGCTCACCTTGATGCCGTGGCTCAGTGGAAGTGCAACATTAAAGCCAGAATAAGGCTTTACTTCCACAGAGACACACAGAACATGGAGAATCTTATTCAGCTGTGGGTTTAAATAACATTTTAAATGCTGCGTCAGATGAAGGAGAAATACAATTTAACAAGCTCCTTTTTTAATGATTTTTAGCTGACGCTTGTTTTTACCTTAATAGGGATTTTTAACAGACTGTTTTACATCAATAACTGATTCTTCTGTTTAAATTGTGTAAATAAAGTGTTGTTAAAATCCTAATTTTCCACATTATGATATATATTTGCATTATTCATTGGCTGGTTCTACAAATTTAACAGATATGAAATAATAAAATACAACCAACTTAAATGATTTCATTGTATTAGGTCATCAAATCAAAGTTTAATCTGTCAAATAAGCTGCCTGTAGTGTCTTTAAATGACCAGCAGGTGTCAGTATTCTGTGAGACAGTATCAACGCAGGATGAATACAGTTTGATGCCTCATTAACCATCACTATCGACTACCATCATCCAAGATTATTTCCACCCAATAATGATGCCTGTGAGGCTGAAGCGGTTTAGATTCAGCTTGGCAGTCTGGAGCTCCTTCCTACCCTGGATGGAGATCTACTGTAGACCCGAGGAAGGAGGAGCGGGAGCTAGAAGTTTAGATTCGAGGTATTCAGACAGGATGTCAGGCTACCCTCGGCCCTGAACGCGTTTCTACAGAAACTCCACCTTCATTCCAGATGTTGACTTGTATTTTGAATAAAAGTCCTTTATTCTCCTTTTATATAAATCTGTGATTGTTCAGCTTTATGTTGGGGGGGCATTTATCTTGTGGGGTACGTTTCTACCTCAGAAAAAGGCAGATTCCTGGTTTGGGTCCATTGGTTCTGTTAGATCGGGGGTCTGCTACCTTTCATATCCAAAGAGCCATTTGGCCCCGAGTCGAGCTCAGTAAAACTTATTTAAAGCCGCAAAATATCACCTGATTTTTTAAATAAAAAAAAACAACCAATTATTTTTGTTAAATATCTGCATAAGAAATTTGTTGCCATTTTAAACAGCTAAGAGATTATTTGTAATTTTTTTGTTTTATAAATAAGGAAAAACAAAACCATTCATAAAACTGAAGCATGGAGTTTTTTTCTGTAGGGTATTATTTGATATAAAAATAATAACACCTAGTTTCCAAGCTAATTATGGGAAAAAAAATAGACCTAAAAACATATTTTCAGTGCTTTCCTGTTTTTTTTTTGTTTTTTTATATAAAAAACACAAAAGTGTCTATGAAAGGTATTACCGTAATTTTCGGACTATAAGCCGCAACCTTTTCCCAATTTTTTGACCATTTTTCGACCTTGCGGCTTATATAACAATGCGGCTTATCTATGGACTTTTACAGCTAACGGCCTCTAGGGTAAAACGGTACCTTCGTCTATGGATTTTACCATCCATCATGTTGACGTCACATTTGCTTCAACACACAAGTAGCCGATTGCGCGGGAATGCGGGGAAGCAGACTCCGAGAAAGACTGACATTGCGAGCGCAAGACAGTTTGTGTGACACCCTCATTATAGAAAAACAAACGTTGAAATGCATGATGCAGCTTTTAAGTTAAAGGCAGTAAACGAAGGAAATAGAACCGCTGCACGTAACCTTGGAATCAACGAGTCGATGGTGAGACGTTGGAGACGCCAGCAGGAAGAATGGTCTCAATTCAATTGTGTTGAAATGTTAATAAATAGAAGCTTCCCCAAACAGTTGCCTCTTTCCCGACAATCCTCTCTGTGCACCAACCATATGGTATTTAAACATAAAAAACCTGCGGCTTATAGTCCGGTGCGGCTTGTATATGTACAGATCATGCAATTTAGCCTCTGCGGCTTCTATTCAGGTGCGGCTTATAGTCTAAATATTACGGTAGTTCTTTTAGTACATTATTTAGTTCTTGATATTATTTGAAACCACTTCTCAGAGCAGTTGCAGACCATGTGGCTCTGGAGCTGCAGGTTGCAGTATTAGAACATAATGGTCTAGTTTAAAGGTTTGGTGATTATTTTCCGCCAGCTGAAGCTGACCTTTCACCCTGACCTCCTAAAGCTCCTCCCAGGATAGATGACTAACGCCTCAGTTCAATCCTTTGGAGCGAACAGCGCAGGTAAATCTACACTGGTTCTTACAGGCGTTCTTGCTGGCGTTGTCCATGGCCGTCATCCTGGCGCTCTGCTCGCTGGTGGACGACTCCTTGAGGGCCAGGTAGAGGACGTTCACCAAAGCAAACTCCTGGTAGTTCCTCAGAACGTCGGCGTCGATGTCATCGTAGATCCCCATGTTCTCTGTCAGGAAAAGCAACAGAATCAGAACCTCTGGTCGTCAGGGGTCCATGGGATCAGTAGAACGTCAGCTGGTACCTGAGGACGCCACCGTGTCGATGGAAAACACGGGCTTATGGTCCGTCTTATAGGAGATAACGGACCTGCGTGAGGAGAACAAGTTCTGTTTACACCTGGAGCCGGGTTACTCTGCAGAATCGGACCTTAAACGGCACGGTACCTGAATCTGTTGAAGATGATGGAGCCCTGGTCGAACTCGTATCCAGAGTTCAGCAGCTCGGCGGCGATGATGGAGGCGTCCCCGAAGCTGGGCGGCTTGCGGCCGACCTCCTTGCAGTTCAGCAGGATGTGCTTCCCGTGGGTTCTGAAGGGCGACGGAGGGAATGTTCCCGTTAGAACCGAAACCAACCGGACTCTATATCCAACAGAACCAACGCTCTGAGCTCCTCCTACCTGTACAGCAGGCCTCTCAGCTTGTCTCCCACATTGATCACCATCACCTCCTTCCCGGCGCCGCTGAGGGCGGCGATCTCGTTCTTGATGGTCTTGGCCACGCCGGAGTGAATGGCGCCACAGAGCCCACGGTCCGAAGTGACGCCCACAATCAGATGCTTGGTGGCCTTCTCCTCGGGGGCCTTGATGTCGGCCTTCTCATACAGAGCTGGAAGGGGGGTCAGATCCAAGTTCTGCATCAACCAGAACCAATTTGGGTTCAACAGAGGTTAAAAGTAGACGTACCGAGAGCGCCGGTGCCGTAGACTCGGGCCGGCTTCAGCTGCCTCTCAGCGCGAGCGTATTTAGCAGCGGCCACCATCTTCATGGACTTGGTGATTTTCTGGATGTTCTTGATGGACTTCAGCCGAATGGTGACTGGAAAGAGATTAGAGGTTTTAAAAACAGATCATATCTCTCCTATCCTGGCTTCT